TCACCAAACCTCACAGAACACCATTCCATGAACGGCCTAGGTGTCATTCTATTCACATTTTTATCCACTCTCTTATAGCTATATTTGTTCCGTGATCTACACCGTCTTTGCGATGTTATCGCCATGGCTTTTTGAGCCTCAGCAGTAACGCCAAAACTTTCCTGAATTTTCAAAATTTTTATCTTGATATTTTTGATGAGCGCCGGTGACTGTTATGTAGGGCAAACCTTTGGCTACATTGTGGCTATTTTACATTTCGTGGGCCACGTTTATCAAGTCCGTAGTAATTATTTATTTGAGAAAAGCGCGGCTTTTTGAATACGTTTTACCACCTAAAATTACCGAAAATTCCAAAAAGCTGATTTTTGAGGCAAATCAAACTTGATTACGTTGCATGAATGATGTTTAATAACAATCAAGTTTGAGTTTGCAAAAACTTCAAAAGCTTTCATGCTTTTTGAAGTCGAAATCAGCAAATTAGGAGAATCTAAAAATACTGTCTTGTAGCCCGAGAGTTGCTCTATTTGACCCATAATTGATCTTTTTCGAAACTTTGCAACGAAATTTTTAAAAATTAGCTCAACTTTGGGCACGTAAAATTGACAGGTGAAGAATTTCGGCAATTATCAAAGAAGGCATATAACGTTATGGTATGAAAGTGCATCCATAAGAAAGAGAAGGAAAAGCTGCATCGAATGCATGTTGAAGCTTTCTCAGGTCTTTACTGTGCGTGGTTTTACAGTGGTCTGAAAAAACCGACAAAACATTCGGGACAACCTATTATTTAGGAGTTGCATGGGTTGCTCAATCTTGCTACCTTGGAATCAATTCAAAAGAGCAATTTTGAATGTCAAAAACCCATGAAAATGCAGCTAAGAACAAATTCGTAAATATTTCGGTCCGTTTGCAGGACAAGCCATCAAAGTCGGCGAGTGGTAACCTCAGACAGATAGTAATCCAATGCACTTTATGTGATACTTTTTGAAGACTCGCATAGCACTAAACTGGAGTTTTGAGTTGGTGACGGCCGGAGAAATCGCGCCTCTTGACCGTCTCCCGCTATCTCAAGTGCTCAAAGTCAGGGGGGGGGGGGGGGAAATGAAGTGTAAAAGACCAAGAAAATGCTCGCCCTCTTAAAAGACCATTATTTTTGTGCCCTAGAGAAACGCGAATAAATGATATGAGCTAATTTTTGTAGTTCAAACCCATAACCGTGGCATATGTAAAGGATCTGAGCATGATGCGCTTATGTGAATTTTGCATTAACAATTTTCGTTACATAAATGCTGATTTAGCAGTAGTTATACAAGAACTAAATAAGATGATCTAGCCTTGTTTGAAGTCAAGTGACGATTCCGTTGGCTGAACTTTGCATCTGAGTAATGCAAACCTGCATTTGAGATACCAGTGAGAAAGTGACATTCTATAATGCCCATTTTTAGTCAAAGAAAAATCTTCTGAAATGGAAAATTAGTTATCTAACGAGTTGATAAGCGCCGTTTCTACAAAATAGAGGGGGATGTTGGCTTCACAAGAGTGTACAATACTGCTCAAAGAACGTGCAAAATTTCAAACACAAGTTTCCGCGACATTTCAATGTCTGTCTTGCGGCTCGGTGGGCTGAGCACTCCTTGCCTCGCTCGACTGCCAGCCTGCCCCTCAACCTGCGCGTCCGTGAGCAATCTAAACCCAACACCAAGTAACAAAGATATCACATGTGCGATGAACGCAACATCACAGAACTACACGACTAGATTAGGTAAGTTTATCTACACTACAAAAGGGGATTAACTGTAACAAGAAAAATATCAAACCACAAAACTACACGAAAAACAGGGACTAGTCTGCCTCACTCCGGGTCGCCGATAGTCACAAAGCATCCCTCAACATAAGAAGTTCAGGGATTGGCCCATGGTCGACCGCATAGTGCCTAGTCCTTCCGGAACGGTGCAACCTCTCCACTATTCCCGCGATGATACTTCCTTTTCTCATCAGACGAACTTGCCGCGCGCATGCGCTTACACTCAGAAAAGATCTATCGCTCAACCGCTATCCCCAACAAAACCTCTTTTGCGGGAGCTCGCTAACCGCTGCCAAAATCCTTACAAGAAATCGATAAGAGGGTTACATCAAACCAAGAAAGGAATAAGGCGCGTAACGCCTTTGGCGCCGCCCTATATACGCCTTTTTTTGGCAGCGAGCCAGCGGGGAGGGGTCCGAGCGCGTATACAAGAGGCGCGCCCGGCTACAGCGGCAAACGGCGCCCCCGGCCGCTGTATCGCCTTGCACCGCGCGAGCCGCGACAGTTTGCACGACATCGATTCCGCAAATCACGCGACAATATTACTTCTTCAGCCATCGTTCGGCTGTCTTACAGTGTTATCGGCGTGAAATATATTGTATTTGGTGTAATTGCAGAACGCATGCTACATATTTCACGCCAAAAACGCTGTAGGACAGCCGAACGACCTACTCAGACAAATCTGCGCGCAGGCGGCGCGCACTGAATCAGCGAGCGATGTACGTTCCCGCCGCCTGTGTGTGCAGTGCGCGCCGCCTGCGCGCTACGAGGAAAATTTTGGCAGGAATCTGCTCGGATTTTTGTTGTCGGTCTGAATATCTTATGCTTGTTGGACAATATGGTTTCACAACTGTTTTATTAACGAATAATATCTACAATTTTCAAATTTGACAGGTTTTAACACAAATTGCAACAAAATACAGTATTTACAGGATAAGGCTGTCTTTGACAGCTGGCATTCAATACTATTAGCTTAGGTAGTACTTACAAAATTCACAAACTTAAAGTACAACAACAAGGTATTTACATTCAAATGTGATATCAACAAGACGTGTGTATGAAGTAATGAATACAATGAAGTTGATAGTAACTAATGCAACAGTATGACGAGGTAACTTGAAATAGCTGCCAGTAAAATCACTAAGTACTTTGATAAATAAACTGAACAGTATACATAGATATGAATGCATAATATATGTACAGATTTGAAGGAATAAAATATGAAAATGCGATAGCAGTGAACAAAACGCGGGCATGCTTGATCAGCCAGAATTGAATGCTCCTGGAATTCATATACTCAATTCAATTACAGGAATAAAACATTTGGATGACGGGGATATGATGGGTATAAGCATGAAAATTGGGATGAATGATGAGACATGAACAAATCTAAGACATGAATAATCTGGATCAGCCTCGTCCTCGTTAGTTCTCGTAATGGTTTTTGTTCTATCAAGAGTTGATTCCATCAGTCGGTCTAGGCGCATGCTGTGGCGCTGAAATACACGCTAATAACAACTGAAGAGAAAAAGCAATAAATATTGACGAATGCAGAAAAAAATGCATTTTTTCACCTCTTCAAGATAAATAAAGTCAGGGCTGAGGTCCCAAGACCACAAATTGTCTTGATTCTTGGTATTTGGAGTCATTGTAGATCGGTGGCTGAAACACAATAATGTTTTCAAACAAAATGCCTACTTTGGCTTCAAAAAGCAAGACTTACTCTTTTGAGGTCGACTTTTTTTCGGCATTCGCACATAGCCATCATTGTACTAAGGCAGTTGTGACCTGAATTAAACTTTGCTTTTATCTTGTGAAAAAAGAAGAGAAAGGAATAGCAACGGAAAGAAACGAAGGAGGCGCAACGACGCAAGAAAGCTTATTGATTGAAAATGAGCGTCCCTGTGTCACGGGGTCAATATGATTAGGAATCAGAGGTAGGATAAAAGATATGGAAAACTGACTGAGAAACAAGAGTGAATATGGTTTAAATAAAAAAAAGACATGCTAAAAAAGGCAAAAAAAATCGCATACTTGATTTCAAAACAATTTAGAAACAGAAAAAAGAGGTGAAACAGCAGAGTAAAAATGAGGTAATAAACAACACAATACTTTGTATGAAAAAAACAAGGAGGAACGAGGAGAAACAATTATCTGCAAAAAATTCTGCATTTGCGCGCGGAAGCAGCGTCCTCCTCCGCTTACGTGAAGCTACAGAAAGTTCATTGCGCGCCGCCTGCACGCACATTGTGTCTGCGCGCCGCTTGCGAACATGCATTGCGCGCCGCCTGTTGGCTAAAATCAGTGCGCGCCGCCTGTGCGGTGCAAGGTCACGCCCACAAATCACGGCCCGCCGCCTGCCCTGCTGGCCGTGAGTGCGCGCCGCTTGCGCGCAGAATTGTCTGAGTACTTTTCTTCTACTACTTCCTCTTCTTCTACTACTTCCATTTATTCGAATAACTAGTTCGATAAACATCGATTGTGTAAATAGCTATTCCTATCTCCTACTATCTTCTTATCTTTCACTCGAACAAACAGTTCCAAAAATCGGTTTTTGTTTTTAGGTGTATTTAGGCGTATCAGTAAACCACCGATCTCATGTGACTGTGAACTGGCTGAAATAAGAACGTTTCAGGAATATTTCGTAGACCGGGGTCTCGTTCTGGACAAAAGCGAGAGAGGATTCAGTCACTTCTGGAAGTGGTCAAGGTAGCTATGTTATCTTGTGTTTCAATTTTTCAAGTTTGTTTACTCGACTACTTATTGCTTACATAAAGGAGCGCAAAGCGTCTTTTCAACAAGAAAAGAGTACTTTCTGAGTGGTCTGAATATGAATATCTTTTCTCCGCAAATTTAAACCATTTTTGACTGTTTCTGGGATGCTCCTAATGTGTTGCAATGGATGTATTGAACTTGGTGCTACCTACTGAACTTTTTTGATTTGCTATGATGTCCTCTTATAACTGGAGAGTTCCTCATCAGTTCTGACAAGATCGGCTCCCTGTATGTGTACATAGGAGTGGTGTTCTGGGAAGCTAGACTGCTGTCCGACCTCTGTCGTATTTTAGGCCCAAGTTGTGTGGACGAGCGCAGTTTATCTCCTGAGCCTGCTGCAACCATAATGCGGGATGACACGTCACCAGCCGGATATGATGCGATCGCCAGAGCACCACATCTTACAGCATCATAGCTGCACGGGATGTTACAGATTGACGCGTTCGCATCAAAGTATTCGCATCTTGCAAAACTAGGCGATATCGGTATGTTTCGACATATTTGATTACTTTGAGAATTTTCTAAAGTAATTGTCCTCCCATTTGCATTTTACTCCTCTTTTCATTTGTATTATAGAAGAGGGCGAATGAGTTCTGTCACAGCGCTAAAGATCAATGAATTTTTGTACGAGGGCTATTTTTTCAGGGCTATTATTCAATTTACTGCAAAATTTGCAACTTAAAATATCCATAAGTTCACTTAAAAGATGTGCTTGGTGCTCAATCTGTCTCAAACTCCATTCTCAAATAAGAATGTTTTGTGCAAGAGTGTTTGGAGTTTACAATTTGAGAATCTTATTTGGTTTTGCTGGTTATTACCTTAAATTCTCAAGGTTTTTGATCGTTTAAGATTTTTGCTGTGTTGTTAGCAGTAGATTGCTCACACTATGAATATTTAGATATCTAACTCCTTTCTCGTTATCTTTAAACTGAGGAAGAAGCTTAAGATGAAGACGTGCCATGGACTGGAGAACAGCCGTTGAACAAGCTGTCAAAGCTGGCTTTAAGACCACTCTTACTAGGTGAGGGACTTGTCAGTCTTCGTAATTCGTCAGCTTAACTTATTTTTGAAGTGGTCATGCTGCTGGCCATAGATGGAACGGCTCTCTCAAGAAAAACCATCAAAAGGCCTATGATAAAAATAACAGTTGTGTTTTGTGTTGTGGTTTTGTTTTGTTAGGTTTTCGCAATATTGCAATTTTTCTTGGAGTTACCAACTTGCTTGTACTCTTGTGGAATGTGCTCTTCTTGTCCTTTTCTTTTATACTTATTCTCAAAAATACTATGCAAATATCCTCTCAATTTTTGCTTATCTTATCAGGCCAAGCAGAACGGCTTCACGTTGGGTTCCCATGACTACGATGTGCAGCGAATCACTAGTGAAGAAGAAGGCCTTTTGCGAGATCAGCTGGACAAGTATTGGCACGTCGTGGTCATTGAACCCAACGGCCAATGAACTCCGTACTATTAATTTCACCTAAAGTCAAAACAAGGTCACATACTAGCTGGTTACTTGTATGCATTGTTACTACCGTACATTGTAGCCCCATGTACTAAGCATTTCAGGTTTGACTATTTATTTGTGTATCAGCTTTCCAATCTTACTAGGCAAAGATCAAATGAAATAGTGATAGAGCTTGCGAAGACGGGCTGTTTTTCCCAAACGCGAGCAACTTGAAGCCCTGCCCAGTAAGGGCTACGTCGTGAGGCCATAATCGTCACCACTATTTATGCTTGGGTGACTCACATTGCCTTTGCCATTGGAGAACGGTCATAGGTTGTCGGCAACGGTTGCCGAGGTTGCCGGTCATTGTAAGATCCTATAGTACCCTCCGTGTGTTCTGCGCTCTCTGACAACCTTGGCAACTTCCACAACCGTTGCCGGTAACCTATGGCCGTTCCCTTAGAGGAAAATCAGAATTATTTCAAATTCCCTTAGAGGAAAATCAGAATTATTTCAAATAAGACATCAGTCTTGCTATGGAACTTGCTTTGTTGTTCCACTAGTTACAACCTTTAACAGAGATATCATACTGAACGCACCCAGTTTATCGTCTAGAAAAATGTTAACTGCCTATAAGCTACCATGACAAAAAGCGTCGATCTTCGATCGTCGATTGTCGATTCGTGGAAAATATAACACACGACTGTTTGTGACTTTTGTGCACTTTTTGTACGCTCGACTGCCACAAACTTTGCTCAGATATAAAAACGAGTTCATAAAACTTACGGACTTTAGCGTACTATTTGCGTAAATGAACCCTTCATAACAACAAGACACGACTAAAAAGGCGCAATCTTTATGAGCCTTACGTATTACATGCTTTAAAAGCATCAGAATTTAGATACAACTGCATCGAGACCTGAGTCACTCAATACATTGCAGAGCGGCTGCGACTCAAGATTATTGCGTTATTCAGTCAGATAGCAATAGGACCTACAATGAGTGTGGCAGAAAAGAGAAAAGAGGTAGATTAGAAATGACACATTGGTAAAGATATAAACACAAATATCTGTTTGAATGCGATGCGTGAAGATGATGTTGTGAACGGAGATGCGAGAATGACAGAAGTCCTCGCTATTGAAGTGAGCAAATCAAAAAAAAGACAACAGTGAAAATGATTCGTAGCTAATGTACAACAGATCTAACTGAAAGGCAGATATAGCACCGGAATCTTCTGATTAGGATGTAAGCTGATAATCATATGAAAGAAAGCAACTTTGATAATCAGATGAAAACAAGTAACATTGATAACTAGATGGAACAAAATAACAAATCCAAAAATAGAAAATCCTACGAAGTCTTCCGCGTCCTTCTCCTGTTGCGAGCTGCTGTTCTCTGCAGCAAAAATATTATCTTGCCGGCATCCTTGTCTGTTATCATTATCGTTGAATGGAACTCACCCTTATTAGTCGTATTCCTCTGAATTTCGGTATTCGCCCACTTGGGTTGGCGTCTAATCGCCTTGCGAGGGTGGTTCCCTCATATCTCAAATTGTTGTTGATGTCTTTGAGCTGGTTTTTCATACTCATTAGCTGAGTACGTAGGTCGTCGTCTGGTTCCTTCAAGGGTCCGATTACCTTCATTCTTATCGCGGCCATTTCCTGAAGTATGTTTTTGACGAATTCAAGATGAATACTCAACTTACAGCAGTGATCGCTTGTACAAGCTCTTTGCATGTGTCTGTTATGAGGGCGCTGTCCCGGACTTCCGTTCCCGAAATCGTGTCGGCTTCTCCAGCCGGCGTGTCGGCTTCTCCGTCCGGCTCCGTGGCAGTAACAACCTCTCCTTCTACCATGTGCGAATACGTCACCAGTCCTGCAATCGGAAAAATGCATCTTTTCACCAAAACGCAAACTGTCTGACCTTGAGGACTGTACACGAGTGCCACGTGCACATGAATGCACGAAACGCCGGCTGTGTGGTCATCCAAGCAAGTGCATTTGAAACCGTATCCGCAAGCGTTGCAATTGTAGCAATGGTTGTTAAGCTGATATATGTTCTTTGCTAAGTACGTAAGAAAGTTTTTTTAGTACTCACAACTTCGTCACGATCGCATGGCATCTGCTTGACGTGATATGTGTGATTTCTTTCGCATACTAGCCAAGATTTAGGGCTTTCCACAATGGATGTAACGTGTCCATCACAGTACGTCTTAATTGCGTTGGCACGCCTCTTGTGCTGCTCTGCAAGTCTGTGCCGTCCTTCGCGAACGTTCCTGGCCATCTAAAATATATGCGTCGATGCGCTGCTGAGCTTGATCATAGTGGTTACTTTTATCCTTCTGTCCTCTTCCATACAGGGGACTAGATTGATTAGCAAGTCGACCAGCGAATCAATTCTTACACTTGATTTGAATAAATTCATGTTTCAATCTTCTGTGGAAACGCTCGATTGCCATAGAGGTGTTGACAGTGGATGTTCTCCGTACGTATCCTGCCCATTCGGAAATTCGTGGGCTCCTGATACACCAAAAACTCCAAAAGAGTAGTTTGCGGTTGTGACCCTACCAGTTCCGCTCGAAGTACTGAACCATACTTTCTTCGCGATTTTGTCGCAATAGGCACAGTAGAGAAGCGTAGTTATCGAAGAAGACATCACGATCCGGATTCTTGCAAAGTTCTGACATTTTACCCATTACGGTAGATGTAGGACTCGGCTGAAAGGAAGTTGTTAGGGATGTCGGATTACGTCGACATACCTTTTTGAGATTTTTGCAATATCTCTTTATGCTCTGAAGGACATGAAATGTGCACAATAGTTTTTTCGCTGATGACTGAGGAACAACTTTTATAAATCCATTGTAAAATGAATTACTGTCATCCGACATGAAATATGCTGTATCAAACTGGGGAAGTAGAACAATTTCTTGAAAGAGTATACTAACTTCGTTCTCTGTCATTCTGAAAGCGATTTTTGAGTTACAGCTGCGTAACAGAAGTTGGTTTTTACTTGAAGGAAAGCAGAAATGCCGCTGGCAACCCCATGTCCCATTCGTCTAGGACCACTACGGAAGCTAGTCGCAGTGAGTACGGTGTAAGGTTGAAAGTATCGTCCATCAACAGTGCGCGTTTTGCATAGCTTTCCAACCAAATTTTTTGTATCGGCGTCACAATTACTGCACGGTAAATTTTCAAAAAAATTATTGGTATTATGTGGTCCCTACCAAGAGAGAAGTTATCGCCGCTTGCATCTGTTGCTGCTGTATAATGCCGTATCCCATCGTCGGGGATGTGTTCTCCGATGCGCATTTCAAGCGACAAAATGTCGATACTATGTCTACGAGCTGGATCTAGATTGTGTTTCAATGCAATTCTTCTGAAACACACTTACTTTTATCTCGTTACTATATGTTATAGTTACCAACCGCACGTCTCGCGATGTAGTGAAATACAACCGGCAACTCAAATTGTTTGAATTTCGACATCGCTCCCGGATTTGACTAAGCACTTGCTTATAAGTGAATCCATTTCTTAGGCAGGAGAGGATTTGTTTCTCAGCACTGGCGTCCATTGTCAGCAGTGCAGCATCGGGCTCATGGCCGCAATGCGTGCGGCAGAATTCTACGTTGATAGTCCGTTCATTTTCCGTCACCTATTCACTGAAGTGGTACCCCGAAGAAGAAGAAAGCGGAAAATTTACCTTCATATAAGCTGTGCAGTACATGACCTTTTTTTTTGAATTTGAGCACTTCTCTATGTAAGATGGGCCAGGCTCGGCTCTACTACATCGCATGTATGTAATGTCTCCATCTGTTCCTTTATTCTTCGAATGGACAGCGTACCTAGTAGTCTCTTCCTCTTCTAGAGCATGCTTCCAGTCCTGGAAATAGAAACGAATTAGATAATCAAACAATAAAAGACACAGTACACAAAAAATAAAAATCGATGACAACGTGGCCATTAGAATTAGAATATAAAAACATGGGAAAAATACATCCACGAATGGTATGCTTACTTGAAAAGCAGATTTGCTGTTAAAGCTGATGGCTTCCACACTGAAGGTTCGGTTTCCTGAAGCGTGCACTGCGTTTGCATGTATTACAAGGTCGTGGTGGTCCTGAAAATGACTTCTCGTAACGAAAAATGAGCACGAGTGGAAAACTTACATTTATTGAAGTTCCACATAAGGGACATGAGATTTTTCTTCGGGATGCGTGTTCCATTTTATTATGCTCTAGTAGGTTTTTTTTTCGTGGCGAATGTAGTTTCGCAACTATCACACAAATAATTCTGTTCTCCAAGTATTTTTCGTCGCTTTGCGGCTTGTAGATTGGCTATCTCCTCTTTAGTGTAACTATGTACATCAAACAGGTGCGCAGATAAATTCTTTCCTAGGTGCTTGCTACACTCCGGACAGACTCCACTGTAACAGAATCATTTTTGAAATCATCACCAGCGTCAACAGACTTCTTGAGACTTGCTCCATTGCTTTCGCCGGCATTTTCTTTGCTTGGATCCAGCATTTGCAGCTAAACGTCAAAATATAGTCACGTCTGAAACAAAAAAATGTGCACTACTTTTTGAAGGTGGAAAAGGTTATCTGGTAAACAAATGCAATGGCGACAATTGAATGCGAATGAAAAATATGCAATAGCCTATCGTGTGATGTTTCCGGTTACTGTCAGCTTGGACTCAAACTAGCAGTTCGATAAATTGTGATATAGCTATACTTATTTGTAGTCGCTGTCTCGCCTTGCTTGGCTTTCGCAGTACGACAGTGACTGGAAATAAGTATAGCTATATCACAATCGCATGATTTATCGAACTGCTTTGAGTAAATGCGAATTCAAAAGGTAGGACGAAAAACAACACGATTTAGAAGACGCTTCACAATTGACATAGATGCATACATGCATTAAAAGCACTACAGTTCTCCTACAGAAAGAGGACATTGAATCAGAGTATGAGAAATCCATCAAGATTTCATCAAAGTCATCAAGTGAATGACTAGAAGTCAAAAAAGTTAGTAAATAACAACAAAACAACTCATAGTTTTATTTAGATACATACAGATATTACGAGGCGAATAGGCAGGAGCAGCTGAAAATGAATGTGTTTGCAAATAACCCTAAGGCCCCGGTCAGACTTCACGCGATTTGATCGTCGCCGTGTTTTCCAGTCATTTTCATTTTACATTCAAAATTCGGACTGGAAAAGTATCGTAACCGAAATGCAAGCTTGTCGGCATGCAATGACCCCGTATTAGTTGTCTTGTCGCGACTGAATCGCGGCGATCAAATCGCGTTAACTCTGTCCGGGGTCTAAGGGTAACTAGAGCTAATGTCAGTGATCTCATATTGATTGATGAAGAATGAGTCTCTTGAGCATGATCTCTCTCACAATAAGGTCAATCGATTATGAGTTCTGAATTGGCTCAACCAAACTGAGATGGCATCTTCGGCGGCCTGCTAGCAGCTCTCAAGATCTGATTAGCAGGGACAGAGCTACTTCCGTACTCATCTCTATAGTCAGGGGCATATGCTAATGATCATTTGGTAGAGGAGAGCTTCGGTGTTGTATACCAATTTGTCAATGGGAACAAATCCTTTTGATTATCAGCAAATAGAAGATAGAGATAGTTGAAACCTTAGCAGATAAAAACAGTTCCATCAGATCTCTGAATTTAGGATGATCACAGCAAAAACAACATTATCGTGTGGTAAACAGACCTGTATGTAACAGGGATTTCCTTGACACTCTTCACTGGTAACCATTTCGCACCCGCGCATATTTCTTAATTCGCTTCAAAGGCATTCCAACGTCATTCTTGATAAGTTTTGTCACCTAAATTTGGTTGTACTGATGAATTATACATAAAAGTCATTGGTGTATAACTCACAAGTCGTTCTGTAGAGGTAGAACCAGGCTTCAATCGCTTCTGGTCGCAAAAGTGAATGTGCATCCAGAGGCTAAAGGACGATGTTGAAAAGCATATGCGCTTGAAAAATTGCAAAACAACAACTTTGATAGAGAGATCTTCTTTTTGACCAGTAACATGTTGAAGTACGCTATCTCAGGTCCCAAACCCGTTGGATTTGCGTACATCGCCTGACAACCTCTCCCAAGACTCTGCAATAGAAATCAATATTTGAAGTCGATAACGCTCACTAGTGGCTCTCTATCGAAAGTATCGAAAGCATACCAAGCATTCAAAAGCGAAGAAAAAACAATCAAAACACTAAAAAACAGGCAAATTCACATCATTTTGACTTTAAAAGCTTACCAGGTTAGTGTCAGCTTCATTCGTGCGACTAAGCAAGGCGAGACAGCGACTAGAAATAAGAAAACTATATCAATCGGATTTCTATCCAACTGTTTGTTGGAGTAGATGCGCAAAAGAAAAATAGGATGAAAAGCACTTTTCAGCCATCGTTCGGCATGACGCGCTAAAGTTGGCGTGAAATAAGTAACAATCATTGTGCAATTACACCGGCTGCAATATATTTCACGCCAATATTACTGTAAGACAGCCGAACGATGGCTGAAGAAGTAATATTGTAATCACGCGAAGCAACGCATACCTTCCAGAATGAATATTTTCAAATATGATAAAGGACTGTACTCACTTCATCAAGGCGTTTTGATATAATGCGTTAGCCTGATATTCCGTTGTTCCACGAAATTAACAGAATGTCGCAAACTCTCGCAAATCCCGGAAATTTTGGATGTTTTATGAGTGGTATTGTAGATTCAGACTTCTCGCGATGAAAGTAACATCACTGTGAAACGTTACCGATACCTAATCAGCTCACTTGAAGCGATTGAGACAAAACTTACCATTAAAATGCCAGCTCTTAGGTTCTTAATACTGAGAGAAAATAGAGCAGATTTTGCCGAAATAACTATATGACCTACCATCTCTGATCACGGAATTGCTTCTATCGTACTGCGCTTTCGCTCTACTCAAATATGCTTCATTCTTTCCGCTGTTTTTATTGTATCATCAAACAAATGAAACTTTGCAGCTGACAAGGGAATGGTCAGAAGTCGAAGTGGCCGAACCAAAGGAGCTGTATATCATTGGATGCAGTATAAAACGCTGACTTCGAATCTGTCTTCCTTACCTGCTTATCGCTTTGTGGACAAAGCTACAAGCGGTTTTATTGTGAAAAAAAATCATACATAAAAACAGCGAAATTGAGCACATTGGTGCACTTTCAGCTCAGATTCTGGCTTTAAAAATTTGAAGTAAGCTAGCTGCATGTTTTGGTTCAGCATTAAGGCGAACGTGGCTCTGCACGGCTAAATTTTCAATTTCACGCATAATTTCTTAACAAAATAATGGTCTTTAATGGCTTATAGCTTCGTCCAGAAAAGCGATAAGCAGGTAAGGAAGACAGATTCATAGTTAGCGCTTCATGCTGCACCTAATGGTATGCAGCTTGTCTGGATTGGCCACTTCGATTTCTGACCATTCCTTTGTGAGCAACTAGATCGGCAGTCGTTTTTACGGAATTGATATCATAAAAAGAAATAATATTGAAAAAAAATCAAGAAAGCAATGATAGCATTGTAATTATTGAAAAACAAAAGGGAAAGAAAAGAAACATATATTGTAAGGAAGAAAGAAGCTATGCTCAAGTTTTCTTTTAAATTGAGTAACTAGAATAATTATAAAAAATAATAATATATTAGGTCATTCGGAAAGTAATTTCGCTTTTTTCAAAGGGGCGCCACATTTGAAAGAACAAAGTTTTCTGGAAGATCTTGGTGATGCAGCATTTCATCCTCTTTCTAACAATTATGAAAGGTTGCAGCGCACTCAATGAGCTTTCGGAAAATAACCGAAATCTGTGACCTTATACTTTTTGAGATGGCCAAGTTTCACAATCTTTTAGAACTTTCATATCAACCTTCAGAAGGAGCTTAAGTAAGGACTAGATGGAGCAAGCCTCATGGGATACAGCAAAAGTTTTTTCTCTTTTTCATAGCTCGCCGTAAATTTTTGAAAGATTTTTAAACAAAACCATCGAATTTGGGCAGGCCTACGTCAGTCACAATCGCATCAAACAGCAGTAATTATTCGTGAAACCTTCAAAATGGTAAATGACTTAATATTGGTTTTACAAAGCAAATGAGAGTTTACGGATTCGAAATATCAAATTTCGAGTTTTTCGGGTACAGATGTGGGCGCGTTCAAAAACATGAGTTATGATGATGTTATCCCCAAAGACTGAACCAATCGGAAACAAAAAACATCCATTATAAAAAGGAGAACAAGCTGCATCGATTGACACCCGAGCTGCTCACTGTTTGATGTTCTATGTGGTTTGAGCTGGCCAAGAATGGAAATTGGCAGCATCAATCAAAATTCTATCAAAAAAAATATGACGAGCTATGGAAATTAGAAAAAAAAATTGTTTTGTATCCTACAGAGTTTGCTCTATCCACTCACTTCTTGAGCTCCTTCGCAGGTTTGATGCAGAGATTTTAGAAAATTGCTAAATCTGAGGATTTCCAGTGAGCTCATTGAACTGTGTTGCAACGATTTTGTAAGCATTAGAAAGAGGATGAATTTCTGCATCGAATGCCACCAAGATCTCTCCGAAACTTCGTTCCTTCAGATGTGGCGCCAATTTGAAAAATGCGAAACTACTTTCGGAATGACCTAATAGTTTATAGTTTGAAGTTAGTTCAATAGTTAATACTTAGCCATACTTTTTATAGCTTATAAAAATAATTATATTGATAATAAGTTCATTACGCTATCATTGTTTATTTGATTTTTATAGTTTAATAGTTTAAACTCAGAAAAAGAAGCTATGCTCACGATTTTTTTTTAAATTTGGTAAATAAATCGGCCGCCGAGCCGGGAGCACTCCCGTATGAATGTAAACATGGACCTTGCCGCCGCCGACGCCTACAAGGAGAGCGTTTGCAGCCTGGACATAACATTCCGTAGAGTATATTGCCGCGCTCAATCGCTCGAGTAAGCAAGGAAGTCTGTTGGTGGCCGGTCATCTTTGTAACCAACTTCTCCACTGACAGCCCGCCACCTAAGCTGACAACCTCGCTGACAACCTCGCCCCCTTCGCTGCTCTCTAGAAACCTCTTTTTGTGCACAAAGTGCATGGAAGAGGCCGTAGACGGCCGCAGGACCTCCGTAGACTTCAACTTTTGGCCATTTGGCTCCAGTACACATGTTTGAATAGAGCTTCAGTTTGCAGCATAGTCAATGATGAATGAATTTATTTTTCGCACATGGATGCCGACCAACTTGACTGCAGTGTCAAAATGAGCTTCACTACACCTGTTAAAATAAAAGAATAGTAGTCAATGATGAATGGATACAGAACAGTTTTGGCAGTCATTGCAACTTTCAACCACAGTAACCCGCCGCCATTTACAGGGTATCCTTGCCAGAACCTTCTGTGTTTCAGCCTGTAGAGCAACACTTGACGTTGATAAAGTCGGCTGCAGTAAATCGCCCGGGTCGCTGTACAGTCTGCCCCAATCGGGATCAGGCCGAACCGTCGGCTGAATTAGCGCGCTTGCAGCGCTAGAGGTTTGCGCTGCATACGCGCGCTGTCGCAGGAAGCGAAGAGATTGAGGAGAGAGCAGACTAGCTAGAAGCAGAAGTGGCGCGAAACCCTTGCGACGCGCACTCCCGCCAAGCCAATTTTGGCCTGGTTAGGATTGGGGCAGACTGTAGGGTGAATGCACGCGAGCGTGCCTGCAATGCGGCTGCCGAGTACGGGCGCTACGAGCTAAGCAATTCTCTAAATGACTTTACTTGAATCTCTGAAAGCCGCTTGCAGCACAGCCTGGCAAGATCTCGATAGTGACTACCTGCGAGCCTTGCGACAACTTCAAGAAAGACTTTTTGTATGTGTTCAAGCAAGAGGCTGATTTAAAATTATTAGCAGTTGTTAGATAATGAGCCAATTAAATGTCCGCATCACAGTCTGTCAAATTTGCATTTAGTGTTTTTTGGCACTGAGATATATACGAGCAAATAATTATGGCGCGACCTGCTAGCTTTATCGGTTTAGTCCTGGCCATTGATCTGTGGATGTGATGCTGTATTGGTCGCCACCATAACTGCTGCACTGCGAGGCCCTTTCTCCTTCGTATTATGATGACTTACAAGCACAATCAATGATCATCTTACGAGCAACTCCAATTCGATCCATTGCATCCTTGTAATCCTGATACTGCAGTGAGCTAGATTTACAGCCCCCGTTTACATGACAGTAGGAAAATGCTTGGTTGAACCATAATAACCTTTTACTTGATGAAAAATTATGAAAGTCAATAAATCGAAGAAAACAAACCAAGTTACCCTTTGTTCCACACCGCACCTAGCCTTTTCTGATGTGTAACGCATTTCTATTTTTTTAACAAACCAAGCTACTTTTTGTTTCACACCGCACTTTACCTTTTCTGATGTGTAACGCATCCCTATTTTCTAAGTTTATCATGTTTGGCGTTAGGAAAATACGATAAGTACGATATCACCGCGTAGATCCTCAAATCAGATATTTGAGAGGTACTAAATGTTCAGCTCAAATGTATAATTCATTTTTGCAATTGGAAACGCTGGAATGTCGATGACCGCGCTTTCATTGTGAATGTCCTTATATTAAGCAAGAATAATGTTTTGAAAGTCTGTTACTATTAGGTTGATGCAAAATTCCTGCATCAAATTAGGTACAGACAGCAATAATTCGGAATAATCTTATATCCCAATTAGGATTCGATATATCATCAGATAGAGCAAACCTAGCTCTACAAGAAGCGCTCAAAGTTTTGCAGCAGCTTTGATACAAGTGAAGATTGAAGCCAAAAACGAAAAAGATCCGAGCGCCCAGAAAACTAAGAAAAAATTAGAAGTCTATTCAGAAAATCTTTCAAAACTTGCTCACGCATTGTCATTTCGTATGAGACGTCTCTCTATACAGTTGCTGAATTTCCCTCTCAGCTAGAGATTGTGAGAATAAAGTTTTTCATGTTTTTGCCAAGTGCTGAGATGTTCTAGCACCACAGTTGTATAGTACATGCCATTAGCAATAAGACTTTACACTTTCAGCCTTCTAAAGGAACTAGTTCGCGAGAAATATCGAAACTAGCTTTCTTTATTCGAATTTTTCCTGCCCAATTGCTCAAAATTCGATATTTTCCGTAAACCAGCTGCTGCAAACTGAAGATTCACACTTATACTTCTTCTTCTACTCTTGCTTGTTCTTCTTTTTGTAGTACACAACTCTCAGTGTTAAAACATCTCAGCGTTGTTTTGGGAAAACATGAAAAACTTCGTTTACTCAATTTCTAGCTGAGAGAAAAATACAACAACTGCATAGTGAAAAGCAACTGCGTCGTGTGCGAAATGACAAAGCATGAGCAATTTAGAAGTTTTGAAGGATTTTCTGAACGGACTTCCAATTGTTTATTTATTTATTGTTTATTGATTTGGGGCGCTTGGATCTTTTTGATCTTTGGCTCCAATCGTTGCTTGAATCAAAGCGCTGCAAAACTTCAAGGACTATCTTGTAGGTTGTGCTAGGTTTGCTCTATCCAGTGATATATCGAATCCTATTTGGGATAAAGATTATTCCGGATTATTGCGGTCTGCACCTATTTTGGTGCAGGAATTATGCATCAACCTAATAAAAGAGAGTCAAACCTTGTCCATTATCTTTTAGGTTTTTGCGTCCATTACGACTTAGCCGGAATTGGCAGTAAGCCGATTGATACGCCTTTGAATTATGCTATCCAACTGTGCAACTCGGTGAATGTGTTTTGTTCCGGTCGTTGTTGTTCTATTTCCGTTTCCAATCGTATTATTTAGTTCAATAAAGTCTTTGAATAACTTTGCGTTTAATTGATATCATTTACGTTTTTTTCTGGTCAAGGTCTGT